TGATTTGAACTGATCATCCGGGACAATTGTGAGATCGTTCGAGATGATTAAGCAAATTTTCAATCATCCAGTTTGCATTCATGACGATGCTTTGGCCGATCTTATGAGATTTATACTGATCGGCCAGGACGATTTCAATATCGTGCTGGACGATAAAGTTGGTAACTTGTAATTAATGAGCTCCTTTTAAGCTCTTCTATTTAAGAGCTCTTGTTCAATATTTTTGAACATCCTTGGCTGCTGTCTTGACCTGAGAAAACTTAAAGGAGAGAGAGAGAGAGGGAGAGAGAGAGAGAGGATCTTGTGAGGGGGAGCTTTTGAGGGAGTTCACAAGGGTTGCTCCAAGCATTGTTCCACTTCTTCTTTCTTAGAGTCTCTTGTCCTTGGAAGGGTTGGGAGAGGTAAGTTTCAGCAAGTGATCGTGGTTCTTTGCTTGCTTCAGGAGGAAGCAAAAGGAGTTGGGTTCTCTGCCTTGCCGGGTGTGGAAAAAAGGAGGTGTTTTTGTGAGGGCTTCTCCGCCTAGCTGTGGGGGCTAAAGGAGAGTCACATTGGTAGTGAAATACTCGGAAGGCGCCTCCGGGGAGTGGACGTAGGTCAAGTTGACCGAACCATTATAAACCCTTGTGTTCTTTTACTGCTTCCGCACTTTAATTTTTTTCGCACTTGTTTTTCATGGTGATTTTGGTTTGTGATATTCGTTCTTTTGATCTTAAAGAATTTTTTAAAATACCAATTCACCCCCCCCCCCTCTTGGTTAGCCTTGGGACTAATTCATAGGGCTTAACATCCCTAACAAACTTTCAAGAATAATATTATATGTAGAAATCCTCTTTTTAATAAAACCATGATGACTAGAATTGATAAAAAAGGCATAACACCCTACATTATTTGCCTAAATTTTTTCCACAATTTTATAAAAACCATTACACAAATATATAGGCCAAAAATCAAAATTTTGAGAGGCCTTAGCATGCTTGAGAATAAGAGCAATAGTAGTAACTTTAGCAGCCCTAGACATATACCAGTATTGAAAAAATGCAAAATAGCTTTACAAAAATAAGATCCCATAATCTCTCAAGAGTTATTAAAGAACTCAAAAGTAAGAGGAGCAATAAGAGAAGAAGGGCTTAAAAAAACCACATTTTCATTTCATCAATAATAAGAGGAGTAATAAGAGAAGGAATAAGATCATCCAGAATACTCTTACTAACCGGAATATCACAAAGAGAAGCAAAACCTGATTTAGGAGAATTATAAAAAAATAAAAAATGTTGCACAAAAGTATCAGAAAATCCCTCTATGGTGAGAGATAATACATTGAGAAGAAAAAAAATACCTTAATCATATTCTTATTATGCCTATAATGAATTTCGGAATAAAGAAACTCAAATCATCTTCTCCACAAGAAAGCCAGTTAGATTTGTACCTATGAATAATCTAAGAGAACCATAAAGACACATTATAATGAAGAAGCCCATTAGCCTCTTTAAGGGCCAAATTAAGATTTAGGTCCAAAGGATTATCCTGAATTTTCTTGAATAAACACTCTTGATATTGTTGAGTATAGTAATTAGGTTGTTAAGCCTAAGTTAATGTCTCAAAGGCTACCAAGAGGAGGGGGGTGAATTGGTAGTTTAAAAAAAAAATTAAGCCCTCTTTTAAAATTATGTTGAACCGAAATAAAAATTATTTCTTTTAAGTTTTGTAGAAAAAGTTTTTCAACCATAGAGTTTTTAAGACTAAGAATTAAAATGCGGAAACGTTAAAAAAATAGGTAAACGTCACTGCACATAAAGACCTAGCCGATTTCAATATAGCGTGTTGCTTCGACCGGTCGCTAAAACCAGACCTAAGCATCCACTCCCCAGACTGGCACTCCTCTGTAGTATTGCATCTAAATACCCAATAGTGACTCTCCTTTTGCACCACTAGCAAGGCGGAGAAGCCTTTACAACACACTCTTCACCACTCCCCGGTAATGCGGCAAGAGAGAGAACCGTTATCCTTTTACACAATTCCTCAGTGTGCCGTTTGGCAGAGAACTTGTCATCCCTTTCACACTCTCCTAGTGTGGGCAGAGAACCCTTCGGCTATTCACACTCCTCCAAGTGTAGCCAGCGAATTCCTTCGTGCTATTCACACTCTTCCAAGTGTTAGGCATGCGAACCCTTCGGCTATTCACACTCTCCAAGTGTCCTGCACGGCAGCGACCCTTCAGCTATTTCTCTCTCCTCAACCGAGTGTCGGCAACGACATCCCGGATCTCCATTGACAGTATCATGCTCACAAGAAAGTCTAGAAGGTAAGTGAAAGAATAAGAGTGGAAGTACTCCCATATTCTAACAGTTAGAGATCTGTCTTACCTTTGACTCCAAGTGAAGGCCTTTCGCTTCCAGTTGGTATTGAATCCCTCCCTTTGAACATGCTCTTCTTTCCACTCTCTCCTGGCTTATTCTCTCAAGAGGCAGATGATTCACAATGACAAAAAGATTGGGTGGCAGTCTAATTTGGACTATTTATACAAAAGACAAGAAAAAACTGCCCAAAAAACTGCAAGTATTCAATTATGTACGCAGTGGATCGTCTCGACGATCATGTGATCGTCCTGGACGATTTTACTTAAAAGATTTGAAATGACCCTATTTGTATATGTGTACAAATGTCTTCGTACGGCTGATCGGTTCCTGGTCCTACCAGAATCTATATATACACTCCTCAAAGCTCCTAGAGCAATCCGCGATCGTGTGACGAACCATGGTATTACACAGGTCGGGTTTCTAGAAACTGCTGAAAACCCTTATATAACTAATAAGCCTCAGTATATACTTAGCGCCGCGCTGATGCTCAGCTATCCAAGAACCGTGCAGTACCACGAAAATTTATTCGTCTGGACGAAATTTTTACAGAGGACCGATCGTCCGGACGATTAATTAATTTCGTCTGACGGAAATTCGCTAGGGAACAATCGTCTATGTATAGGGACCGAATAATTTAATTTCGTTTCTGGACTGGAAACTATTTCCATGAGACTAAGATTCGTTCGGACACGTTATTATTAATGTTTAGACCCGGAAAATTTTAGAGGACTAATCGCCATTAACAATTAATTTAATTTTTAGTGGACAAAAATTTTCACAGAGAATTCAATCGTCCTTGTGTACGATTGTAAAATTCGTCTTCGGACGATAGGTATCTTTAGAAAAATGTTAAGCAAAGTTCCTATTCGTTCCATGTGCTCAATAGGAGATAACTGTCTGATCGTCTCGTACGAACGGATATCGTCCAGTACGATCAGTATAAATTTTTTATGATCTCCTTATGTGTGCATGTATGTTTTCATTCACTCAATTACAATCAGATATCTTTGAAGGGTCTCAATAGAATTAGAAACATGCTTACAAGAAACCTAGGCTTGTTTATTGATAATACCTTTGAGAATAAGAGCAATAGTCGTAACTTTAGCAGCCCTAGACATATACCAGTATTGAAAAAATGCAAAATAGCTTTACAAAAAGAAGATCCCATAATTTCTCAATAGTTATTAAAGAACTCAAAAGTAAGAGGAGCAATAAGAGAAGAAGGGCTTGAAAAAACCCACATTTTCATTTCATCAATAATAAGAGGAGTAATAAGAGAAGGAATAAGATCATCCATAATACTTTTATTAACCGGAATATCACAAAGAGAAGCTAAACCTAATTTAGGAGAATTATAAAAAAATTAAAAATGTTGCACAAAAGTATCAGAAAATCCCTCTATGGTCAGAGATAATACATTGAGAAGAAAAAAATACCTTAATCATATTCTTATTATGCCTATAATGAATTTCGGAATAAAGAAACTCAAATCATCTTCTCCACAAGAAAGCCAATTAGATTTGTACCTATGAATAATCTAAGAGAACCATTAAGACACATTATAATGAAGAAGCCCATTAGCCTCTTTAAGGGCCAAATTAAGATTTAGGTCCAAAGGATTATCCTGAATTTTCTTGAATAAACACTCTTGATATCTTTGAAGGGTCTCAATAGAATTAGAAACATGCTTACAAGAAACCTAGGCTTGTTTATTGATAATACCTTTGAGAATTCACAATTTGAATAAAGATCATTAACATGATTTCCAACATGATACTTAGCAAAGATATCAATAAGCAAATCCCAAAATTCTGACTTTTTACACTAAAATATTTTAAAAAGAAATTTATTACTACAAGCCCTTATTACAAACAATAAGAGGTTAATGGTCAAAACAAATAAGATTTTTCACTAGATAATAAGATTAAGGAAATAAATCCAACCATAAACTATTAATCGAAACCCTAGCCAACTTTATATAAATAGGACAATCTTTATGTTGATTAAACTAAGTAAAGAAATGCTCAACATAAGAAAGTTCTTGAATACTAGAATTAAAAATAAAATTATTAAAATCCCAAAGCTTATCACTTGAGAGTAAATTACTGTCTGATTTCTCATTAGCAAATCAACAACAATTAAAATCCCTTAGTAAAATCCAAGGAGAAGAAATGTTGCCCGCTAATTCCAGAATATCCTACCAAAGAGTATTTTTTTATCGGTCAAATTAGAAACATATATAGTAGTAATAAAAACATGAGAAGAACTAATTTTTCATAGAGTCACGGATGAATTGATTAGTAATACGAATGCTAGTGAAAGAAATACAAAAAGTGTTCCATTTAAATCAAATTCTATCCGGAATAAAAAATTTAAAATTATTGCAATTTTCTTCTTGTATAAAAATTTTATGCTTAGCATCACACCAAAGTTCTTCAATCAGATTCACAACTCATCAACTCTAGAGTTGCAAGTGAACCAAACGTTCGACGAGCTACTCGTTGCTCAGTTCGATTAAAGCTCGTTCGACAAGCAACTCGTTGCAGCCCTAATCAACTCGATCTGGTAGTTCTGTACACTTTTACAAAAAATATAAATAAAGAAAATGTATAAATTACAAGCCCTAATTTATGGGCGGGAAATGGCTACCCAAATTTGGCGCCACTAGGTATTAAATTCCCCCTTTGGAAAGGCCACAAACGAGGCAAGAACTCTGGAACTCCATCTCGTTTAATTCTCTTCGACGCAGAATGAGACAGTTTGGTCAGACCAAGCTTCCTTCTTCTTTCATCTCCAGATCAAGGTTTTTACTAATTTTCACTTACCTTTCATGCCCTCGTTACTTTTCTTCAGCATGAGATCCTATTTCTAGGGTTTTTTTTTAATATATTTAAGCTGGGATCCAGTTTTGTCAATCAAGACCCTCAAGCAAAAGCAAAACCTTCGATGAAGCCAATCTCTCTCTCAGAGTTCTTAAATAGAAAACTTGGAAAATCCAGTGGCAGATTATTACGGGTACCATATCTCTGCTTCTAATTAAATTTTAGCTGTCGTGTATTGGTTATTAGCCCTAATGAGTAATCGATGGAGCGCATTGGCAGGAGAAGCAAGTTTCTATTGGCTCGCTTGGATCTGATAAGAAAGAGCTTGGCGGTAAAAGGAAGGAAGATGGAAATAGCTTAATCCCCAATGGTGCTATGTTTCAACAATTTAGCAGGGCGTTAAAGGGTCAGGAAAATTTCGATTTGGGTGATGGTGCAGAAAATGAGCAAGTTTATTCAAGAAAACGGAAGAAACCAACTGAGCCAACTGAGTTTTCTTCAGGTGCTGCTCTTCAACGAGTGATTTTATAGGTTTCTCCCTAATTTCATAATTTGCCATAATGCATCACTATTCAGCCATTCACAAAAATTTTTTCCCTGTCCCTTAGGCATTATTACATTTATCCTTTATTTATTTATTTAAAATTTTGCTCACTTTTAAGATGTATGTGTCTCGTTAGAGGCTTATTATATTTACAATGTTGAAAATTTATCACACAAAACAAATTTTAATATACTTAAAAGCACACATTATTATAAAATACAACTCTCAAACTCATACAAACTCTTATTTAGACTCATGATTTTTTTTATCTTCTGTTATTCTTTCTTGCAAGCTTTTGATTATTATTTTTATATATTTTGAGCTTATACATAATGCACATTATTGACCTACCAAAACAAGCTTTGCCTTTTATTATTTACCTACAAAACTTATGATACATACATGTTATATATTATCTTATCTCAATGTATGTTTGAGCTAAGGATGATCTGTCCACCCAAAGTCTAGGGCATTGATGAATGTTAGTACTCCGCAAAATATCAATGTTGTTCATTCAATTAGAAAATTTCTAGAGTTTTAATTCATCAGTAGCTTTTCTTTGAAGTTTGTCAATCACTTATTTGAGTTAATTTGTACTTTCATTACTCGATCTTTGAGATTACTCAAAAGATATTATTAGCCATAAAAAAATACTTTGTTATTCTTGGAGATGATCCAAAACCGAGGCTAAGGAGTGATCAAAAGCCTATATAACACATATATGTCTAATATTTGAATTTTTAATAATTTTACTTTTTAAATATGTTTGTTTCTACAAATAAGTCATTAATAACAACAATGATGTTTAATAATATGATAATTATAAAGGAATTAAACTTATGAGTTTTATGCTATTTGTTGACATCAATTATCAGCGAGCAATTTGATTTTTTGGCAAATAAGACATCTTGAGATAGTATGGTGGTTAATGAAAGATATGGATAGGAACAAAAATGTCAGAAAGTCATTTATAATCGTATGTATTATTTAAATTTAAAAAAAATTAATGATTTAGTATAACAGGAATTGATTTGATGAGCATTAATAGTAATAATATAATTAAAATTTTGAAGGATATGTATAATTGAATACTTTCAAATTTTAGATGTATTTGTGGAATTTATGTTTATGTATTATTTAAATTTAAAAAAAAATTATGATTTAGTATAACAGGAATTGATTTGATGAGCATTAATAGTAATAATATAATTAAAATTTTGAAGGATATGTATAATTGAATACTATCAAATTTTAGATTTATTTGTGGAATGAATAATACATTTTAATTACAAAAGGATTAAATCAAATGCCAACATAAGGATTATATATATTTTTATTAATTTGGGAAAAGCTTTTGAAAGACACTTAAGGTTGAGCATCTTAGGGTATTTTATTTGTAGGTGATAATCTTGATAGGTTGAACATATCTAAAGAAAACTAAAGGTAAAATAATAAAAAACCTTCAGGTTTGAAATTAAGAGAACAAAAATTTAATATATGACATGTAATTTTTTGTGCAAGAAAAATTAGTAACCATCCATCAATATTCTATGAATATCAAAAGAAATTTAAGTTTCATAAATTTAAGTATATTGGATCCATTATACAAAAAATATTGAGGTTATAAATGTGAAAATGAGTTTTATGATTAAAACAAATATTACAACAACAATAACAACAACAACAAGCCTTCATTCGACTACGTACATGGGTTCGACCACATGAAATTTTTTGTTCATTGCATCCTGGTAAGATCTTAAAATTAAAAAAATATATATATTTATGAAAGTGTAAAATGAAATAGAATTTTATGGATTTTTGGAATTGATTTTAGCTCTTATTCACTTACAAGCTCAATCATTTACTTCATTGTTATATGGCCTTTATTCCAACAGAATTCTTGGAGCTAATTAATATTGGCCTTTTAATATTTTATCTTAATCAATGTTTAAAATTGTGTATTCGGGTATTGAGGCGTTTTTCGTTCGTGAGGCAAGGCGTAAGCCTCAAAATCAAAAGATTGCGTAAACATAAAATGATAAATTTTTTATATACTAATGAGTGAATAATATAAAACATAAAAAAATATAAGATATGAAGTGAAATCAAAATATCCCAATAATAAGACAACAGTTAGAAATTCCAATTCATCAGTGTATTATTTCTATAGGATGTGAATCACTTGTCATTGTTAATTTGTGGTTTGATGAATTTATTTTTGTTGTTGTTTAGGGGATGTTGGTAGTCATGAAAATTGCTTGCTTGTTCTTGGAGATGATCCAAAGCCAAAGGCAAGGCCAAGGAGTGAACAAAAGCATATGTATAAGAGCAGCAAAACAATATATAATCATTGTTTGTACCCTTTTACTCCATTAAAGTTGAGATTACTTATTTGCATGTATGGTAGATTGAGCAGCAGCCTTTGTGTTTTCAGATGCCAGTGGCCAAGGATGGTGGGATGGTGACAAAGAAGGCATTGACGATGAAGAAGTTGGTCACAATGAGATATGGGAGGGTTTAGGAAGCACAACCCTTGGAGGTCTACAATGGCATTCATGAGAATCATCAAGCCTCTATCAAACTGCACTCAACTGGAGCTCTTTATGTTTAGGGTTTAGCAGCAGCAAGGTAGATGGATATTAATTGTCATATTTTTGAAAATCTTTTCAGGCTTTTTCTGCACTTTCTTGCTTTCATTTTGAATGGTTTCTCATGTTAGAATCCATTGGCTTTTCCCTATGAAATTGTTGAGATGAGCTCCTAAGATTATACTTGAGACATTTATAGCTATTTGTAAATTTTTGCTCCAAATTTATAGCTATTTGTAACATATTTTTATGATTGTATAACTATCTTGTTATCATTTAGAAATTAATGTTTGTTCATATTCGGTTCATTTCGTGCTTATCGAGCTTTAAACAAACGAGTCTTATCGAGCTATAAATGAGCTCTACTTCTAGATGTACATTAACTTAACAAACAAGCCTTATCTAGCATTCTAACAAATAATTTCATCAAGCATGTTCCTGAATATATCTAACGAAGTTTTTTTAAATATCAAACAAGCTCGTTCACGAATATGTCTAATGAGTATTCTTGACCTATCAAATGAGTTTGTTCATGAACACATCTAATTAGTGTTTCCGAGCTACCAAATGAGCTCATTTACAAATAAGCGATCTATGATTCGTTGTATATTTATTCAGAGAGCGATATGTTTGTGATTTTAGGTGGATAAGGGAAGTAAAAAATAAATTATTAAATGGTTTTAGACGAGATTAGTAAAAGTAAATTATTAAATTTAACAATATATGTATTTTTAACTCTAATACAGTTCTAATCAAGCTTCGTAGTCAAGCTATATTCAAGCATCTTAACGAGCTTGTTCACGAGCATTAATTTTTTTTTTTTAGTGAAAAATAAAATTCATTTTGGAATTTCGAGTCTTTGGACATTTTTTTAATGTAAAGTACTTTCGAAATGGATTTGAAAATTATTTTTTAGTTCATTTTAAGTGAATTTCTAATATATAGTTTGGATAAAATTGATGTATATCAGCTGTTGTAGCTTGTTTGGCATTGTTGCTCACTTCTAATTTCCATCGTTACTATTGCTAGTTGCTCTTGTTGTCTGTCATTTTTATTTTAAAAATATTTTTTTAACTTTATCTTCTCTTCCTCAAATGAAATTAAGAAAATAATAATAAAATAAAAAAGTTGAATTTATAATATACTTAACCAAATAATTCAAAATATTTTTAATACATTATTTACACTGCTTACATTTTATATTGTACTCTTTTCATTATATCAAATTGTTCCTAAGAAAAATATCTCAATTAGCTTAGAGGTTATTTGGTTTGAAGTAAAGTGGGTGTAAAGCAAATAATTTATGAGTTTTAAAAATATTGATGTTTGTTCATGGTTGTTTGGTTGTTTGTAAAGGAAGTGTAAAGTACTGCAAACGCAATGTGAAATTGTGTCGCATTTGGAATTCAACATTTAATTTATTTTTTATATTTGAAATTTCTCTGATTTAGATAAGTTCTAAATACATCGAAAATTCATTCCAATTGTAGTCCTCTGTTGCTGATCTCCCCTCCCAGCGATGATTACTATCGACCACCGCTTGTGGCCGACCATTCCTGCCACCACTGTCGGTTTGTCGCTGATCACCACCGTCGTTGACCACCCTCTTACACCCGCCAAAATTGTCAGCAACTACTAGCCATCGTTGACCATCATTATCGCCAACAATAATTCACTCAGTTTTAAGCGAAAATCATTTTCACTACAAGTAATTAGGGTTGCAAGAGAACCAAACGTTCGACGAGCTACTCGTTGTTTGGTTCGATTAAAACTCGTTTGTGATCGTTTAACTAACTAAGCAAACAAACTTGAACAACATTTTTAATATTTGATCTTTAATTAAACAAGTTTGAACACTAATGTGTTCGGTTCATTTATGCTCACGAAGAACATCATTTGAAGCTCGTAAACATACTCGACATTAAGCTCGATTTATGTTCGATTTAGAACTCGTGAATAAGCTCGATAAAAACTGGATTAATATTTAATTATAAAATTGCTAAATATACATAATATAAATATTTTAATTTATTATAACATAATGATATAATTATTTTTAATTAATAAAATTTAAAGTAATTAAATATTATAATATATGTTGTAGTTTTAATTTTCTTACAATTGCTAATTATTATATTACGTTGTTAGATCTTGCTCATTTGATAGCTCAAAAATACTTGTTAGATTTGTTCATAAACATGCTTGTTTGATAATTAAAAAAAATTTGCTAAATATATTTACGAACAGAGCTTGTTAAAACTCAATAAACACTAAACGAATCAAACATGAACACCATTAATTTAAATGAACAAAACATACTCGGCCGGTTTGGTTCGTTTATAGCCCTATAAGCAACCTCTTACCATTTTTGGTTGCCAGCCACTCCCCTTCGTCAATCGCCTACCACTAGTAACTAGCCTACCACTGGTCATTGGCTATTATCATTGCCCACCGCAACTGCCAACTGCCGGCCACCATTGCCACCACCCACTTCAATCATAGATAGCCATCAATCACCACCGTTATCGAATGCCACCAATGTCGTCATCATCATTAAACTTCACACCACTAATTTTACTTCAAATCAAATAAAAAAATATTCACCTACATTCATTTTACACTTATCCAAATATTACCAAAAAATATATATATTTTTTTTCATTACATTCATTTTTAAGCCAACCAAAAAGCCTCTTAATTTGAATATCTACATTTTCGGTTTTGAAAAATTAAGAATACTTCAGCGAGGTACGGAAATTAGTAGGCATTTTTCCAAGCTTATTAATTGAAATAGGGGCTTTATCCACCCATAGAACTGAGGATCACGAGAGCAATTTTCTTCCATTATTTCGTCCGATCCCGCCCCCGTGCCCGCTCTCGCCGCCCGCGCCCGATCCCGCAATCGCTCCCGCACCCGCAGATGCGACCCGAGCTACTCGACGAGCCAACGAGTCGATCAACCCAATGTCCGAGCTCGAGCTCGTTTAGCGTGCGAGCTCGATAAGCCCGGCTCGTCGAGCCCGAGCCGGCTTGACTCGTTTGCACCCTAAAACCAGCTTCTACACAGGCAAAAGCAAGGCAGAAAAAGAGCTATTTTACTTTACATATTCTTAATAATGATTAATAATAATGATTGAGGCATCATTGAGAAGGCTTTCTTACTGCTTCTTAAAGCAACTTTTTAATATAAAAATTTAAATTTTTTTATACTAAAAAGCTATTTTAAGAAGCAAGAAGAAAACCTTCACAAATGAAGCCTAAATCAAGACAGAAATAGATGGAACTTGCATGCACTTTAATGTGTACATAAACTTAAACATTATATAAAATAATAGACACAAAACTAAAATATGCAGCCAAAGATATCAAAACTGTAAGTTCTCCCTTCCACCTCAACAATCAAGTAAAATGCCATCTCACAATTTCATGACAAACCTTATAATAACCAAAGAAAGGGAGAAAGAGAGCAATTTCACCTCCCATAAATCTACTACATTTGAACATCATTTAATTTAAAGATTACTCGGGGTCGAATTCTGCCCATCTAAGCACAAACTGACAATGCATCGTTGAACAGATCTCAGGCTAAAGCTTATTTCTTTGAGGAATTTGAAGCGTCTTCTTCAGTCTTTATGATACTAAGCTGACTCCCTTCCTTGCTGGCCATGTTCGCTGCTTTAATCTCATTGCATTGATTTATAAACTTGCTCAGCTCCTGATCAACAATTTTATCATCCAAATTTGTATGGCAGAATATGAAAACATTTGTGCACATAAAAGAGGAGGCCTTTCCTTTTCTTACGAGTATAGATAAAATGAAACATTTGAACTTGTTTTCAAGATTAGTGCAATATGTAATTTTGAATTGAGAACTAATTTCAAAGCAAAACCAAATGGTTCTAAAATCCAGACAATTTTTTTTCCTATAAAGTATATTGCTGTCGCATTTAAAGCCATCCTTCAAAACTTTTAAAATGATGCAACTTATATAAATAAAAGCATGGTGAATTAAAATTAAAATGATATATTAAGATATATTGTAGTTTCAATCTCTCAATGGAGCATTAAAAGTACACTTTGTGAGAATATGAAAGATGAGAGGAAGTGCAGCAAATTAAGGCTTCGTTTGGGACGTCTTTCTTACTGCTTCTTAAAGAAGCTTTCTAGTATAAAAATTTAAGAAAGCTTCTTTAAGAAGCAGTAAAAAAATCATCCCAAACGAAGCCTAAGCTTATTGATTTTAATGTATGTCTAAATTTTTATATGTATTTAGTTTATTGATTTAATTGTTATATGATTTAGCTTCTATTGTATATTTCACTATGAGGGTTTTAAGCAAGATTGCTAAAGAAGTTTAAAGTGCTCGTACACATCAAACCCTCTATTGCTGTTGCTGTGTTTTTGAACATAAATTGGTATCAAAGCCGTGCCTTACTCCACAAAATCAACCAAGATGCAAACAATCAACAAAATGATCATTTATAAAAATCTAAGGTCAGTGCATTCAACAACAATAAAACTATGCTTAAAGCTAATTATGCTAAAGTTTTGTCTATTGTTGGATGATGTTGATGGGCTATGTGTGCTAATCAATATTATGGTTTACTCTTTCCCTTGATCATTATCATCATCAATAGTCTTCTACTGGATATTGGCAAATAAATTTTTTTAATAAAACTTCTCTATTCGCTCTTATTGAAGGCAATATGTAGTGCTAACTCTAACCAATAATGTTTGCACAGGTTATAATAATGCTACCTTCAATCTATCTTTTTCATCTTTCTACCTTTTAAATTAATTTTATCTTCTACACCATATTGATACCTCTTTAGCTCTCCAGCATACATACATGCTCAACGCAGCTAAATATATATTTTTTAGTTTTATCCTTAATAGGTGCTATTCATGCAACTGAATATAACCAATTTGTACTCTATCATTCCTACCATTAGAACCCATCTATCTTAAAATTTGTATTTAATTATTCACAACTCTTTGTTCCTCAACATTAAAAAAAAAAACTTTATTAGCATTTTCATAATTAGCTATTCTATGTTGAACAAGGGCGGAACCATTTAGGTTCCAGGGGGGGCAGTTGCCCCCCCTCAATTTTTTTTTTAAATTTTTTTATATGATTTTTTTAGGTAATTTACCCTTTTTATTCATTTTTTAGTCTTTATTACAAGGGTTTTCATGCAATTGCCCCCCCTAAAAATTTTAAAATACTAT